AAAGTAAAAAAAATATTTACCTTTCAAATGGATACATCCATCGATATTGTACTCGGTCTTGCTATTTTTGCTTCATACGTCAAGTGTACGAGAAGATGCTTCATAGAGTCAAAAAAAACTAGATGGGAAAATACGCTCATATTTGCACAGGATTATAGGTATATCTTTCTCTAGAAGGATCATATCTTCAACCTTAATCACAATGGATGTCAATTCTTTAAAGAATAAGCTCAACTCGGTTAGTGATTGCCATACATTTATTGGCGAGCATGTCACGAAATGCGATAAGTATTAACCTTTGCATAAATACATAACGATCATGACTTTTCATGCCATGTAATCCGAGGTTATTCATATCGACACACGTTGCCAAGTTAGAGATATATCGGCTTGGAAAGTTGAGTTGTTTACTCCATTCTAGCAATTGTATTTTTTGGTGTTTATCTAAAGTGTAACAAGCTTTTGAGTATTTTCTAAAGTTTTCATCTATTACTAATTCAAGCCGTCGACGATATTGCTTCAAGTCTTCTCTAGAATTTGCATTGTCTTTTATTTTTTTCAATACACTCATAATTGTATTAAAAACATTATCGAAGATATTTTTTTCCATATGCATCACATCCAAATTATGTCAAATTAGATTAGAACTCCACTAAGATAAATCCCAGAACATACCATTTTTTTTAACTAAAATATTTAGATATATTATTGTTATACTCATCGGAGCTCTCTTTCGTTATATTTCAACAACCACTAATGGTGTAATTCTTGTAAAATTTCTATCCCGGACTTGATCGGCGGAGCAATGTCTATAACCGTATAATTTTGCTTGAACTCATTCCTCGTTTCACTTAAAAGGATGGCTTTGTGGGAGAAATTTTCGATGGCAATCAAACCATGAAGTTTTTCTATCATTACGAGAGGATGAAAGCATCAAAATCTTCCATACAATATGCTATCTTACCTATAGTACTCGAACCCGACAACATTGAATATGCATAAAAATCACTAATTGTCCACATGACAAGCAGCTCTCATCCGAAAATTGTCTTTATGGGACGCATTATAAGTAAGAGCACCTACTTCTCACAATTCAACCAACTCTTTAATTAAGGGTTGTAAGTATACGTTTAGATTGACTTTAGAGTTTTTAGGACTCGGGATAATTATAGTTAAGAACATATATTCTTCTTTCTTACATTTTCATGGTGGCAAATTATAAGACGTTACAATCATAAGTCACGAAGAATATTGTTGTCTAGATTTACCAAAGGCTAAAATCCATCGGTGCAAACACCTAATCTAACATTCCTAATTTCGATGCAAAAGAAGGATGTGTTTGGATAAAATGTCGTCATGTAAAGGAGTCCGATCAATGACACATGATGTTTGGCTCACGGACATGTTGTGCATGCCACATTACGTCTCCAACGGTGGCGCTCGATGCATACATCCTCTATAATTATGAGGTTATCAAAAAATAATATATTTTTTATACGGAACATATGTTTCTCTAATTGATCCTCACCTAGGATTTCGATATCGAGGATGATCACATATTTTACAAGTGATTCTCTCGTTATCTTTACCCCAATAAAACATGTAACCGGTTATGCAACCGTGGATCTTTTGAATCGATAAACCCATCATTTTCACTATTTTTTATACTATAAAAGTCTTCCGACATGCAGTTATCGACAAGTATTAACTCTTTCATAAGTTGACAAAAGTTGTCGTAACACCTCTTCGAGAAATGGTTCTCGAACCGGAGATATAACAAACGAGACATTGCTGATAACCGTGAATGGTTTTCTAAACCGAGTCATATTTCTCTATTCGATGCATCTAATAAATTGTAAAACGCTTGTGCAACGAGGTTTGGATCTTCGTCCGTATTAGACGGATTCAATGATGGACCGATTGCATCCATCACCATTGTGTGGTATCGATTGACTTTACGATCATCAAATATTTATTCTTGTTGAACATAATTAAATGAATTGTCATAAATGACCGAATCATTCTCTCCATGATGTCTCCACACATAATACCCGGACACAAAACCATATATCTAAAAATGATATTTAACGGTATCGAGTTTTTCAAAACTACGAGTTTTAACATTTTGTAAGTTAGATAGACATTGTATCTTATTTCTATCCATACACTCCGGATAACTAACCACAAAATTAATAAATTCATTAATCCCTTCTACGAAACGCTCATTTAGTAGTCCATCGGTTAATCTAAAGTCAATCCAAGAACGATCCAAATTCATTTTAAACTTAATAATTTTTTAATTATTAAATAAATTTGTAATTACTAAAAAAAATTTAATTACTAAATCTAAATTCAAGAAGTATTAATTTTTTAAATACTACTTATTTTTTTAATTAGAAAACATTTAAAATATTTCTAATAACTTAATTTTGTATCTACTAGGTATAATTTTGAAAAAAACATAATATTTTAATTCTTAATTAATATTCTAATTACTTAACTACTTAACTTAATTACAAAAAAATAAGCTTTATTACTAATATATTTTAAAATTAATAAATAAATATTACAATTTAATTAATATTTAATTGATTAATTAATTTTGTAATTACTTAACACCTTAACTTAACGAACCACCAAAGAAACTTAATCACTTATTAATTTCTTAATTACCAAATCTAAATTCAAAAAGCATTTTTTAATTACTAATTATTTTTTTAATTACTAAAAATATAAAATATTTCTAATAACTTATTAGCAATTTTCTAAATTAATTAACTTTCAAAAATACCAACAATTAAACTAACTAAATTAATAAATAACATTTAACAATAAAATAACTAAATTACCACTTACCAATTACACTAATAAAAATAATAATTAAATTAAGAACAAAAAATAATAACAATAAAATTTTCTTAACAATAAAATTAACAATTTAAATTTAATCACTTATTAATTTCTTAATTACTAAATCTAAATTCAACAAGTATTAATTTTTTAATTACTAATTAATTTTTTAATTACTAAAAGTTTAAAATATTTCTAATAAATTATTAACAATTTTCTAAAATAATTAACCTTCAAAAATACCAAAAATTAAACTAACTAAATTAATAAATAACATTTAACAATAAACTAACTAAATTACTAATTACACTAGTAACAATAATAATTAAATTAACAACAAGAAATAATAGCAATTAAATTTTATTAATAATAAAATTTATAATTTAAGCTTAATCACTTACTAATTTCTTAATTACTAAATCTAAATTCAACACATATTAAGTTTTTAATTACTAATTATTTTTTTATTTACTAAAAATATAAAATATTTCTAATAACTTATTAACAATTTTGTAAATTAATTAACTTTCAAAAATACCAACAATTAAACTAACTAAATTAATGAATAACATTTAACAATAAACTAACTAAATTACCAATTACACTAATGACAATAATAATTAAATTAACAAAAAAAAATAACAATTAAATTTTCTTAACAATTTAAACTTTCACAATTAACAACAATTAATAGCAATTATATTTTTTTAACAATTAAACTAACTAAAGTAACAAATTACAATAATATTAAATAAATCACCAATTAACAATAACAACAACACATGCAATTAACAATAACAATTAATTAAATTAACAAACAATAATTAAAATATATTAACTAAATAATTGAAAAAATTAAAAAATAAAATGAGGGGTTAGATGGGAGGACCTTTCACCAACACAAGGAGGAGAGGGAGTTGTGTCGGTGAAAGGACTTCGTCGAACTTGTCGGGTCGAAAAAGACCGATGGAGGAAGAGAAGAGAAAGCAAGAAAGAAAGTGGAAAAGAGAAAAGAAAGGGGGAGAGATGGAGGGGAGAAAGGCAAGGAGGAGAGAGAGTACAAGAATGGAAGGAAAATAAGGGAGAGGGGGAAGATTTTATGGCAAATTTGGGTAGATCGGAGTCGTTGTCGGAGGAGAAGAGGAGAGGCTGGAGAGAGAGATTCTTTTCTGAAAATTTTTGGGTGGAATGGTTTTTAAAGGTAAAGGTTTAGTGACGATCTATAGATCGTTGCTAAATCCGTTGCTAAATGTTAATTATTCTTTCAACTTTTGAAAAATAGCCGTTTCCCACCGACTTTAGACCGGCACTAAATTGAATTTTTGCAATAGTTTTTTTTGCAAAACACCATTGCAAAAATTGGTTTTCTATTTTTTTTTAAATGCAATTACCAACAGTTTTTTTTTGAAAAAAAACAGTTACTAAATTTTTTGGAATGGGATTAGCGACGGTTTTTGGATTGTCACTAATTTCAATTTTTTTGCGACGGGTTTTTTTAGAAAAACTGTCGCAAATACATTCCGTATCCAAAAAAAAAAAAAACCAGGTAATTAGCAAGGGTTTGGTTAAACCGTCGCTAAAAACGATCCTTTTTGGGAATTTTAGCTATGGTTTTTTGGACCTTCGCTAAATTAGCTAAAACCGTCGTAAATTTTATAAATTAGGAACAGTTTGTGGACCGTTGCTAATTTCCCGTCGCAAACTCATCTTTTGTTTTAGTGATTGATATTAGGATAGTTCATAAAATTTGAAAATGAAAATGAAATCTAAGCCGAGTGGAAAAAAATATAGCGTTTAATTGAAACAAATCCAAAGTTTTAAATGAAATTGAGAAAACACACAAACTTTAGTAAGGAAAATTGAAATTTCCCTTTTTCTTACGGAATGAACACAGTATAGATTTAAATGAAGATCACAACCTTTCAGAATCCATGTTATAGTAAGAATCTTAATCTGTGAGAATTTGTACTGATGCTATATTTTGCTTTAGAAAATCCTGACTGAAAATAACATTCGAGTGAAGACAAAGTAGACACGAATTGAATGCCTATTTTTATTATTGTTGAATGGTGCATTTTAGGAAGAGGGGTACTTCTGCCAAAAGATTATGTAATTTTGTTACCTTGTCTTTATTGAGCAGTGATAATCAAATGGAAGACTTCAATCCGTGCAAACATCAATCTAACGGTTTGTAACTGTTGGACCGGTAGCTGATAAATAGTATATAACGCTTCTATCTTTTCAACCTCGCAGCTTCAATAAGCAAAATCTTCTGTGGTTACAAACCCTGCACGTCGCTGTTATTAGCAACTTCAAAATTGAGCTCAGAAAAGTGCTATTTAAATGATAGTTTAGACGCAGTGATCGACATGCAAATGCATTTCACGTGGTTGTTTATATCTTGTACACTTGTTCATAAAAGTTTCTATGGAAAGTTCATCAGTAGTGAGGAAAGGTGGATGGACCGAAGAGGAAGACATACTTCTGAGGAAGTGCGTTGAAAAATATGGTGAAGGAAGATGGCGTCAAGTTCCCCTCAGAGCAGGTATCTAAATGTCTTAATTCATTCTTGTAGTTCGATGTGGGTTTCTAAAGGTAAAAGAGGCCTAGCTATCCTCATCGTAAAATCCAAGGTCTGTTGACCTTAGTATTGAAGAAAGAAAAATGCCCTTGAGAGAATTTCTCTTTCTTTGACAAACATTATGCTCTCTCTTTGCTACAATATGGAGAGATCATGAGCAATTATCACTAGAGAATTTCTCATGCGTATATGTCTATATTGATTATAGTTTATCGAGGGTGACAAGAGGCAGGCCTTATATATTCAACTAGCTGGACGCTAAAAAAAAAAAAGAATACACTGATTCTCACTTTTAATTTGCAGGCTTGAACAGATGCAGGAAAAGCTGTAGACTGAGGTGGTTGAACTATCTTAAGCCAAATATCAAGAGAGGAGGGTTTTCTGCAGACGAAGTTGACTTAATTATTAGGCTCCACAAACTGCTTGGTAACAGGCAAGTGAAAATGTCTATATCTCAGTACTATTGGTGAGGTCATTTCTCAAATGATTAACAAATAGATACATATAATGTAATGAGAGTTTTCGTAGTATTTCCTTCTTTTTTTAAATGTGAAGGAGATAACTAATATTCTTGAAGCATACTATAGACTATAAAAATATAAGAAACGATAACAGTGAATTGTTTTAGTTATGGTGATGAGATGAGGCAGAGGCATGGTGGTGGCTACAGAGTAAGCTACAGGCCTTGAGTTCGTTCGAGCTAGGGATGGCAATGGATTAAGGGATAGATATCCGGTCCATTAATTCAGTCTCTTATCTTATTCATTGAAACATATGAGTTCATACCTGGTTTCTTATTTAATATACTCAATTAATACATATTAAAAATAATTGATAAAAATTTATATTGGTTTAGTTTTTTTTTTTTTTTTCAAATAAAGTTATTTGGTCCATTATTTATAAGTTTTTTATTCTTAAAGTTTTCATAAAACTATTTTGGTCGTTATTTATAAATTTTATGCCAACAGGTTCTTACATGTTATTTCATAAAAAAAATTAATGGGTATAAAAAGAAAAATTATTCAAAAATTATATTAGTAGATATGTATTTTTTTATTTTGTTCTTATCAATCTCAATGCCTATTATATGTTTTTAATAAATGTTTATTAGATTGGATAAAGTAAATAACAGCTTCATATCCGATCCCTTACCATCCCTTGTTGGGGTATCAATATTTAGATTTGCCATTTAAAATAAACAAATCTAATTAAGTGAACTTTAACTTAGTACATTTAGTTTAATAAAACTAATTAATTAATATAAGTTTAAAAACTATATATTTGATCCCTATATATATATATATATATTTATATAACTTAAACCTTTTTTCAATCACATTTTCTTTCTTGAATGGATTAATATAGAAAAGGGAAGAGGTAAAATGGGGAAATTAATTTGGCTACAAAAGAAGGAATATTTGAAACCAATATATATATAAGATGATCAACACCAATCAATGCATTATTTGATTATTCTCAAGCTATAGAGACTAAGTTATAACTAACTCATTTCAATTTCACATATGGCCATCATATGTACATAAATATATTTATATATATAGTTTTCTCTTGGTTACACAGATGGGCATTGATTGCTGGTAGACTTCCAGGAAGAACAGCAAATGGTGTAAAAAATTATTGGAACACAAAGCTGCGAAAGATGATGGTTTCCAGCAATAAAGATGTTAAATCAAAACCGGAACCAAAATCAATAACAAAAGCTACCATAATAAAGCCTCGACCTAGAAACTTCAAAAATATAAGTTGGTTGAGAGAAGGCACTCCATATATCAATGTTTGTCATCCATTTGGAGACGATCTTTGCAAGCCATATACCACAATGGCATTGCCACCTTCCGATAATAATGAAGTTGAAAGTATGTGGTGGGAAGGCTTATTAGATGACGAAGAAATTAATCTAACAAGCAACAGCAGCTTTGTTGGTAATGGGTCAGAAATTGATCAGGAGCCAATCAAAAGTGTTTCTGTAGAGGAAAATGCAAAAGGAGGGGCAAAAGTTGGGGACATCTTCTATGAACACGGACAAAGGAGTTGGACCGACTTCTCCTTTGATGCGGACCTTTTGAATCTGATCAATGCAGAACTTTAGTTTTTCTTCTTGTAATATTTGGTGCCAATCAAATACATTAATTACTTGCTTTTCTTTTCATATCCAACTAATGCCCCCACACACCCCGCCACTAGAGATTGTTAGATATATATAGGCTTGAATTTTATGGGCTAATAAGATATTTAGCTCATTAGGATTTTTCCTTTATAGGTATAAGGTATCTATACCTTTTTATGTCTTTATTTAGGTGATAGAGTGAAAGATATAGATTTTGTATTGAGCCTTCAAGGTTCTTGTATTCTCTTACTATCAAGCTAATAAAACTTCCCTCTTGCTCGTGGAGTAGGCAATTCTATCGAACCATGTAAATCCTATTTGTTGATAATTTGTTTAGCTTTATCTTTTGATTATTACCTGCTATTACTTGTCTTGTTTTCGCTGTTTGTCATAACAAACCGGTATCGAATCATAGGTTGTACATCTTTGGGGTTTTCCGTTCGTAATGACGACTCCGAAATTTGATGTTTAACCTTTTGATGGTCAAAATTTATTGGCCTTTAGAGAATAAAGATGAAAGCTTTGTTGCGGCGTGAAGGTTCCGTCAAGGCAATTAAGGGTATATACCCGGATAGCATGACTTCGTCAAAATTGAAGAGATGGATAAGAGGGCTCATAGTGCTTCTATAATTATCGTTGTTAGATAAAGTATTACGAGAAGTTACGGATGAAGAGACGATAGCGAGATTGTGGAAGAAGTTGGAAAGCCTTTATATGCATAAATATCTTACAATAACATTGTATTTGAAGTAGCGTCTTTATATACTAAAGATGAATTCAATAAGATTGTTATGGATATGAAAAATCTTGATATTAAACTTGATGAAGAATGTGTTATGTTCATTACTCGCTTCGTATGAGAATTTTGTTAATTCAATGTTATATGGTAGAGAGTCTCTAACTTTAGAGGATGTTAAGACCTCTTTGAATTCCGTTGAGCTGAGACATAAGCTCGAATGGTAAAGCAATTGATAATCGAGTTGATGATTTGCTAGTAAGGGGAAGACAAAAGGATAAAGAGGGTTATAAAGGAAGACCCAAATTTCGTTCTAAGTTTAAATCACTCCTAGATAAGAAAAATAATATTAAGTGCTACTACTATCTTAAGAAAGGATATTACAAATCAGATTGTCTTGCTTTGAAAAAGAAGGAGAAACCGCGAGGTCAAAGTTTTGAGTCTACTAATATGGTGAAGGCTATTGATGGTGATGCTCGCTGAAAGTGCTCTTGATGTATGTCCTCTAGATGGTCATTCTCATCAAGAATAGATCTTGGATACATGTACTTCTTATCATGTGTCTAAATAAAGAGTGTTTTATCACTTATGAAATTGTAAGTGGTGTCTCCGTTCGATGGGCAACAATTCAGCTTGTGAGATGACCGGTATTGGTACAATTCGTATCACGTGTCATGATTTGGTTATGAGGAATTTGATGGCGATGAGACATATACTAGATTGGAATAAGAATTTAATTTCTTTAAGCTATTTGGATTTGAGAGGTTATAGCTACTCTAGTAAAAGTGAAATTGTTAAGGTTTCTAAGAGTTTCTTGGTTGTGATGAAAGCAACTCAAAGTAATTATCTCTATGTGTTATAAGGTAGTACAATAATAGGCTCTGTAGGGGTGATTAGTTCCTACTCTAAAAGGATAAGATTCACTTATGGCATATGCGTCTAGGCCATATGAGTAAGAGAGGTATGACTACTCCGAGTAAATGTAGTTTGCTTTGTGGTGATCAAATGATGTCACTTGATTTTTGTGAGCATTATGTCTTAGGAAAGCGAACTAGAGTGTAATTCTCTATTGGCACTCATTCTACAAAGGACACACTTGATTACATTCATTCAGATTTATGGGGACCAGCTCGAGTTTCATCCAAAAGTGATGCATTTTATTTTTTGACATTTATTGATGATTACTCTAGGAAGGTTTGGGCCTACTTTCTCAAACATAAGAGTGATGTTTTCAAAATCTTTAAACAATGGAAAGTTCTAGTAGAAAATCAAACAGGAAAGAAGGTTAAACGTCTTCGAACGGATAATGGGTTGGAATTTTATGGTGGAAATTTTAATAAGTTTTGTACAAACTGCGAGATTGTCCGACATTGCACAATTAGACACACTCCTAAGTAAAATAGGGTGATAGAGAGTATGAATAAGACTTTGATGGAGAGAGATAGATGTATGCTCTCTAATTCGGGTTTGGAGAAAGATTTCTAGCCTAAAGCAATTAACACAACTTGTTATCTTGTCAACCATTTTTCCTTTATTACCATTGATTGTAAGACTTCAAATGAGGTATGGTTAGGTGAATCCAGTGATTATTCAAATTTAAAAGTACTTGAATGCCCTACTTACTATCATATTAAATATGGTAAACTTGAACCTAAAGTAAAGAAGTGCGTATTTGTTGGCTATGCTTGAGGGGTGAAAGGTTATTATCTATGGTGCCTTGAACCCAATTCATCTAACTTCATTATTAGTAGAGATGTTACTTTTAATGAGAAATATATGCTTTATCAAGGAAAGGTTACTTGTGAGTCTATAGGAAAGAGTGAGAAAGCCATGGATAAAGTGGAGCTTCAAGTGGAGTTTAAAAAAAATACTCCTAAAAAACCATCTCTAAATGTATCCCCTATAGTTGCGGATGTGTAACAAGATTCAGATATGAATGAAGATACCAAAGAAGCTAAGTAGCCTTATTCAATAGCTACTGATCGGGAGAGGAGACCGATAAGACCTCTCTAGAGATATGCTTATGCTAATCTAGTAGCCTATGCCTCACTAGGGTTGAGACAATGGGTATTCAAGAGCCTTCTACCTATAAAGAGGTAGTGATTTGGAAAGAAAGGCTCGGCCATGTGAAGGAGAGAGACATGGTCATATGAGTTTTCTTCTCTCTCTCGTGCTTCATGCTTCGCCTATATGAAGCACTTGTCTTATGCCCATATGCCTTGAGCATTTTTCTATGCATGTTGGGGTTTTGTTAGAGAGAAGAAATTTGTTAGTCCTAATATTGAAGTTAATATTTTCTCTCTTCACATCTCTTGTTTCTTATATTGAGTTAGTTCACGTAAGTTTAAAGGTGTGTTTTGATGAATTATTTAACATTCTTAAAGGTTTGCGGAATTCAAGCCAAGGTGGAGATTTATTGTGTGTGACTTGAATTTTATGGACCAATAATATATTTAGCCCATTAGGTTTTTTTCCTTTATAGGTATGAGATATTTATACCTTTTTATGTCTCTATTTAGGTAATAGAGTGAAAGATAGAGATTTTGTATTAAGCCTCCGGGGTTCTTGTATTCTCTTACTATCAAGCTAATAAAAATACCCTTTTGCTCGTGGAGTAGGAAATTTATCGAATCAAGTAAATCCCGTATATTGATAATTTGTTTAGCTTTATCTTTTGATTATTACTTACCATTATTTGTCTTCTTTCCTCCGTTTGTCATAACAAACACGGACACACATGCAACTTTTTTTCTTTTTCTCATACTCGTGTATGTTACTAGTTTATAGATAATAAAAAAATTTGTTGCAAAAAAAGTAGACATTAAACTCGCATCATGATTAAACTCACGTCACGCTATCTAATAATTTATGTTGCTTTGAAATGATATTTTAAATGCATGCATATTTGAAGCTTAAGATCCATGCATATTTGAAGCTTCCTTAAGGCAATGCGTAGGAAAAGCGATTGGATTCCTTTTAAGAGTTTAATGGAAAAAATTTCTCTCAAACTATTACAATTTGATAATTTTGAGTCTTTATTTTAAAGTTAGGTTAATTGAATTTCAAATATATTTTTTTGTGACAAATGTAATTTTTATCTATTATCTTTAATTGTTAACTCTTTGACCATTCACATTTTTTTTTAATTTAGTATTTGTTAAATTCATGCGGACATAAGTCATAACCATTTAATTGACTAGATTAAAAATAAAATAAAATATTTAAATCTTCTAATTACAATTTGACAATTTTGAGTCTTTATTATACAGTTAGGTTAATTGAATTTCAAATATATTTTTTTGTGACAAATGTAATTTTTATCTCGTTATCTTTAATTGTTAACTCTTTGACCATTCACATTTTTTTTTAATCTAGTATTTGTTAAATTCATGTTGACATAAGTCATAACCATTTAATTGACTAGATTAAAAATAAAATAAAATATTTAAATCTTATATTAACTAGATTGTTGTTAATGTAGATTTTTAATTTTTTTAATCGGGTATTTTTGTTAAATTTATATTGACATAACCATTAAATTGACACTTCAACATATTAGCATGTCCACCACATGAATGTGAACATTTTATTTTATTTCTAATCGAGAGTTTGTATTTTTATTTAAAAATATGTACTTTTATTTTTTCTATTTGATTATTTTTATTTTTAATTTTTTTTATTGGGGTTATTAATTTTGAAATCTAACAAACATCCACTATGCAAGCTTATGTAGGCCATATATATTGTGACTAAGTTAGCTAATTTTTTTTAAAGAAAAAATTAGAATGTTAATGGTTAAAGAATTGATCATTGATAGTCAATCATTATACCGTTAAAGATAATTGATAAGGATCATATTTGCAAAAAAAGAAAAAATTAATAATTTAAGGTTCAATTAACCCAAATTGGTAGCAAAGATCCAAAATTTTCAAATCGTAATAGTTTAGGAGCAATGTTTACCATTAAACTCTTTTTAAGTTGATCCAATGGTAGATGGTTCATAGCTCTTTTTTTTTTCCTTCTAGAAATTAAGTATATTGTTATAATTATACTATTTTTGGAGAATGTTTCATATCAAAATCCATCATTGCACTAAAAATTTATTATCCCTTATAGATTAGTGAGTTAAAAATAAAAATAACAATCATGAAACTTTATAAAGCATTTACTATATTTATAAACAATGGTTATCTCTATAACATTCCAAATCATCTAAAACCACTACCAAGTTCGATCCAAAATAGAG